TGGGGGCTAAGGAAATGCTTATCTCCCCGAGCGCGGCCTTCATCCAACCATTCCATCACAAAAGCACAGAGCATCATACTATTAGGGAATGGGTGGCTATTTATATTACTTTGTTGTTAAATTAGACAATACGGAGGTAAATTAACTGAAATGTGACATTGAGCAAACAGGATCAATGAACTGTTGTAGTGTCACGATTAAAAAAAAGACACATAATATGCACGCACATTTACTAATGTGGGATCAACCATGAACAAGTAACCATCTCATGCTTGAGGTGTGTAATGGGGTCCCGGTTCACTCTAAAATTACCTGCAGATGCATAACTAAACCTGTGGAAACAGAAGAAAGAGTTGAACATGAAGAACTGTATATATTTAAAAAGTGCTATATATGTTGACGAAGAGGTTTAGTTTCTTCAACAAATAAGTTCAAGGGGGCTTCCTATAAAGCATTGCAGCATCATAGAACATACTGTGCAAAGATGAAATACCATAATACTGAAACCAAGTTTGCATATACTACATTCATTATTACATGCCATTCACATAATTCTAACAGATTAGTATCAGACTGTTGCCAATTTATTCTCTGATTGTATTCATAGCTCTGGAAATTAGAATCTTAACTAATCAGGGCAATATAATGGATTATTTTTATTGGACTTTGTTGGGGGGTAGTAGGGTCACATCCCAACTAGTGCTTCTAGATTTTTGAGAACTCTTCCATGATTGAAGAGGAGGTTGCCGTCATGGCAACGTGTTTGACCCTTTCCACTTTAAACATACTCATCTTTCTTCCTTTGCACTTTAAAAGGGGGGAGACTTTACATGTGCTGGAGTGCACCATCTCGGGCCCCATAGTCCTATAAGCCTCTCCCATATGACTGGGCAAAATGGTGACTTTTAACCCTAGCAAAAATCCTTGACTGTGTTGGAAGCCATCATATTCAGTCTCATTGAGTTTATATCTCAACTGAAAATTAAATCAAATTTGGAATTCTGGCCTGACTCCCCCAGCATTTTTGTGGGTGGCCCCACTCTCTCATTGACCTGTGCTTCTCAGGCTGTTCCTCAAAGTCCAAAAGTTGACCTCATTCCCCCCAAAGGTTTTGCACCCGGGTGAGCTATGCAGCTGTCTGGGGGAAAGTAGAATGCAAATGCGATGAATGAACGTGTCTTCAATGAAACTGAAGGGTGAATACCGTTTTGTTATTGTTGCGTTCTCTTTTTGGAATATAGGCTGCCGCTGAGTCAGCTGAAGCCCAGACGATCCGGTCCGTCCAGCAGACTCTGGCCTCTACAAATTTGTCCTCTTCCTTGCTTCTGAATGCCCCTCTTGCACAACATGCAACTGTGGTCACATCCCCTCAGACTCTTCAGCAATCTCTTCCCAGGGCCATTGCCCCCAAGCCTTTAACCATGAGGCTGCCTGTGAATCCAATAGTTGCCCCCATCACCGTTGCCCCCAGCGTGCCCACAAACATTTCCACCTCGCTCATCAGCCCCATGGCGACCAACATGGCGGGCGCGCCAGCACCCACCTCCTCCCAGGCCAGCCCTTCCTTGCAGAGCCAGCAACACCAGATCCATCAGCTGCAGCTGCAGCAACAGCAAATGCAGCAGCAGCAGCTCCACCAGCAGCAGCTCCACCAGCAGATTCAGCAGCAGATGCAGCAGCAGCATTTCCAGCACCACATGCAGCAGCAGCTGCAGCAGCTGCAGCTCCAGCAGATGCATCAACAGCAGCTCCAGCAGATGCAGCACCAGTCACAGCCTTCTCCTCAGCAGCATTCCCCGGCTCCCTCGCAGATCACCTCTCCCATCTCTGCCATCAGCAGCCCGCCACCAGCCAGCCAGCCCCACCAGCCCCAAATACAAGGCCAGACGCAGACTCAGCTTTTATCGCAGGCCAGTATTTTCTGAAGACGCACGAGCCGACGGCGCTCTGCGTTACGGGCGAAGCCAAGCCGTGAATCATCCAGAAACTGTGCATCGCTGATGGGTCGTTATGCAGGGAGGCATAACACATAAAGTGAATTCTAAGCTGTCTATTAGATAGGCAATAAAGAACTACAGTGTAGCTGGGTATAATCCTTTAGCGGAATTATAAATATTTGTTTCCCAGGTTTTCTTCCCCCTGTTTTTCCCCTTTTTCTTTTGCTCTTCTGTTTTTTTTTTTTTTTTAGGAAAATAAGCTGTGCTCTTTTTTCCCTCTTCTTTTTATGTGGCCCATTTCTTTTTTTTTTAATTTATTCCAAGCTTTACTGACCACATGCGAATTGAATAGTCTTGCATATGCCTGGGCAAGAAGACTGAAAAAAGAAAATGCCTTTTTACCATTTTCAGATTAAAACTGTTCATTCCTGCAAAATTGGCTGACGCACTTCATACCAGTTAGTTTTGGGATTCGTTTGAACACATGAAGCTCTTAAAAGCACAGTTGTAACTACCTGTAAAATGTTGATTGGGTTTCATACAATCATACTTATATGACATGAGTAGCTGACGGTGTTTTTCTGTCATCGATAATAATAATGTAAAAGAAATATCACAGACTTTTGCCAAAGCTCATTTTTTTCCCCTTTTTAATAATGTCTCCTGAAGGAAAAAAAATGTAAGTGAAAGTTCATAAATATCAAAACCCATCTTCTCATCCTACTATATTTTCTCCAAATTCTCCAATACTTTGGAATAAAACACATTCTTACTCAGTCCTGCTCATAACCATTAAAAAGAAAGTGAATATTCTATTCTGTGTTTGGGTGAACTTTCAGATTTAATACACTGTATTTTTTAAAAAAAGGAAATGCACTTAAATAAACTTATTACAAAAAAAAAAGGTAAGAAGAAAAAATGTGAGTTTTTAACATATGATGTAATATTGGTAGATTATTTAAGGGGGTTGCCACATCTGAATAATCAGTGTAAATATTTTCTTTGAAAGGTTGTAAGTTTTCAGATCATGTGTTGTAAAGTTTTCATAAATGAGGCTTTAATGTAAACACTGGTAACATGAATGATTTGATTGCAGCATTGCTTATTGTGTTTTTATGCTGTTTTATACTTTTTTATGAGTTACGATAGCAGCAATTAAGTTGTTTGTATTTTGCTTATCTAAAACAAATGCTTTTATCTTGCTATAGAATAAACACATTTCAGGAAAAAAAACAACAGCCACCAACCAGCTTTGCAAAATTGTAACTAATCAGTGCTGAATATTACGATGGGATGGAATTCTCTATGGGTCCACTGGTGACAAGCATGGCATACAGAAGGTTGGGATATAAGAGAGGGAATATTCTGTTATTGTGCCCTTTAAAGATCCAAGGAGTAATGAGAATGATGACGGTCTGGTGAGCATCTACTTAGGTGTGTTTGTTTGGAGTTCATGATTTAAGCAAAACTTTTCATGGCAAAGGAATGAATATCAATCTAAAAGTCCCATTGATTTCATTGTTTATGATGAAAGTTTGAGATAATTTGTGAAGGATGCAAGGGTGATGAGAGATTCTGAATGTGGGATGGGCAACACTTGGTAGTCTTTGAAATGGGTCTTGGGGGATAAAAGGACATGGAAGAAAAGGAAGGTAGTGGAAGATGCTAGAGTGAACATCTGCAAAGTGAGAAAGTGTAACACTTGCATGAAGAACAGTATTAGGATTCAGATTAATTTCCCAGCAGAATGGATCAAAAGTGGATTGGAAGAAAGAGGATGGGGAAGCTGCTTGAATTCAATGAATTAAAGTGAAAAGAATTTTGTTATAGATTGCTCCCAAAGTGAGAAGCAAATGGGAAATATGAAAATGAATGCTTGGTAGAATGATGAAGTGAAAGAAGCTATGGATGAGAAAAATGGGTATAAGAGAATAATTGCTCCTAACAAGGAGACTAAAATGGACAGAGAAAAAAAGTGTGAAGAATAATTAGAAAGAAAGGAACAGCTAAGATTAAAACAGGCAGAGAAAATGCAGAGTGATTTGGTGGAAGTAACAGTGGATGGACTCTGTTATAGCAGTAATGGGTGCACCATTGGAAGACCAGGCTGGGGACAGATCGTCATAAAAGAAATCTATGTACATGGTGATGAAGAGTTGACACCGACCTGATAGCACATAATCAAAGCATTCTTTTGGAAATGCTTTGTAAAGAGGGCTAAAGAAGGAGCCTCCTGCATAGTGAAAAGAATAAAAAGATAAAAGTGGTGATATGATCTGGCATGAAGGAAAAGAGCATTTTAGAAATTTGTTTGGGAATGATAGTATGACCATGTTTTGAACCAGTAAGTTAGATGTGGGGATAGCTCTCCAAGTAAGACAGCCAATCCAGTGTCCTCCAGATAAGGTACCTTAATTTCCATGGCAGTGTGCAAAAATAGGCAGCCCTAATCTTACAACAACAATTATTGACACCATAGAGTGCACAGCCATATTCTAATAGTACACTGAAGGACCGGCTCATCAAGACAACATTGCAAAATAATTTCCCCCAAAATCATGGGAGGGTGGCAACTGATGGGGGAAAGTCTAAATGCTTCTTTGCCCATTTGGTCAATACGTGCACTTTTTTCTTAGACACCACGAAACAAGTACAACAATATCTATATTGCAATTAGGATGATGATTAGTGACAGACTTGTTTGCATAGATAGGCCCGTGCGTATTTAATTCAGAATCCATTGAGAAAAAATGGCTTGCTGTTTTATCTAGGTTGACTTTAAAAATTATATTGCCTGCACTATGAAAGAAAATCAAGAACCCTGTTGTAGTCACTGTTTTACATCTTCCTCCCCCTCTCTTTTCTCCATACAAGGAAAACAGTTTGACCACTATCCCCAGTTGTCTTGCATGATTAATTACAGCATCTGTCCTGTCAGAAGCTATAATGAAGAGGTCTTGATAAAAATTGCAAATTACCACTGGCAACAATCTTAAACTGCTTACGATAAAATGAAAATGAAAAACAGCAAGTAAGAAACCTGAGTGGAATCCTAATCTTGAAGAAAATAAGATTAGATAGATATGGTGTCCAGGGCTCCTGTTCATGAGTCATATAAACAGGATCAAAATGAAATTCACAGAGTACTGGCTTCAAAGCTGCAATCCATCCGGAAATATCACATCATGTTCCCCCACATGACTTCCATGGAGCTTTTAAATAATGCTGGGAGGAAGAACGGAGAGTTCAGGAAATTTCTGTTACATGCATTATGACCCTCAGCAGGTTGTTTACAGACTGAGTTGATTGCATTTTATTCCCAGTGAAATCAGTATGGCTTAAACTAGGGTTAAGTGGCCACATTAATTTCAGGGGGACCCCAAGTCCAACTAACAGCATTCTAGGAGATTTAAGACACTGCAGCCTTCCAAAAAGATTTTGGAGCAGAGAAGAGATTGACAGGATACCTCATTTGGTCAGATGACATCTCCATCTTCATTACCTCTCCATTCTTAATACTCCAAAGCTGATAGGATGGAACAACAGCCTATCAGGGTGAAGTTCTCCCTGACAAACTCACATCCAAGAAGAATAGAAATGATTATCAAGGACATCATACATGGTGCAGACACCAAGTTCTCAGCTCTCCAAAGCCTTCCTTAAACTCTTTCCCCAGCCCTACCTAATTTTTGGAGTGTGGCTCAAAAGTCAAATGTAACTAGAGAAAAATTATTGGCAAAGGAATAAAATCTTGAACTTCTTTTGAGGGCAGTAAGCTAACGTGGTGATTACACCACAAGCCATAAGGTACGCATTGCTCATCCTGAAGAGATACAAGATGGCAGGGATTAAGGATCCTGCCCCCAACACCTGCTGCTTAAGATAGTTGCTTCATTAAATGAAAAGTTTGTGATGGCCCTGTTAATTCATGTTTCTTATTTCTTATCGATTTATGTATTTATTTCTCACATTTCTATATGGCCAGAATCCAAAGACTTCTCTTCAAACAATCATGCTTTCTTTGGGAATAAGCACTCTTTTGTTTCAGAAAAGAATATATTTTCCAAGTCAAAATAATGAACTAATTATTTTGCCTAGCTCATCCCTTGAATATGTCAACTTTAATCAAAAGCAAAACAAAATAGATGATGCGGAAAGATCTTCACCACCCCCATCCTTAACTTTGAGGTCTCGGCCTTTTCTCAGGAAATCTGAGCTTTGGCTTCATGCAAGTTTTTGTGAAAGTACCTACTTGATGTAGAGATCAAGTTAATTTTCAGTTGCAGACCAGCATTGGTAGAAAAATTCTAACAATTTGATCACATTGTAGCACAATTCCATAAACTTTATTCAGAAGTAAGTCCCATTGTGAAAATAGATTCCTCTGGAGTGAATACATTTTACAGCCTTCATAAGTACCTAACAAATCTGAGGTGTGTCTGTATTTTAACTGAACAAGGGAAAAGCAGTTTTTCCAAGACCCATTCAAATGCTGGAAGTACAGCTTCCCATTCAGTTAAATGGGGCTTACAGGGAGGACATCCCAGCATGCACACACCCATGTCAATTTCAGCTAATTGAATGTAGCAATTAACACTTCTGCAAGCTCCTGAAATTGTTACCTTCAAGAAATAAAACCTACGGCATATGTGACAGTAATTGTATAGATGGCCTGTAATTGCAGGCTTGCATTGCTAGGGAAATGTCACAAGTGATAAGAATTAACGGCAAAGGAAGTCTGTTTCCCATAGTTTGGAATGAGAAGCAAGTGCAATGCCACTCATTAACTGATTTCATAAATCCTGGATTTTATCATATGAGATGAAGGGCTGAAAGCCCATCGCTGGTCAGTCTTGCAGGGAAATGGGCATCGTTAAAATCACTGAATGTATTCTGCCATCCAAACCTATTTGCAAGGAAGCAAGACCTGTTGAACACATTTGGTTCTGAGTCAGTATGCACAGGTTACACTGCTAAAAACATAAACATCAAAATATACCTATGCTTGAAATATATCTGATATTTCCTCCACTCCCTACCCCTCCCCTCCCCTCCCCTCCCC